GGGGGGGGGGGGGGGGGGGGGGGGGGGGGGGGGGGGGGGGGGGGGGGGGGTGACTCACGCAAAAACGCTTTTCCCGTCCCTGATTACAGGCACTGCACGAAGGCCGCATGGCACCCTTCCCCTAAGAACGCCCTGGATGGAGCTCAGCCGGGGATATTGGCAAAATCATGCAAGGCACCCGCTGTGCCTACCAAAGGGCAAGAGATGGAGCACTGCTACCGTAGCGACCGCGCGCGAGGCCAAGAGAGCTTCACCCTCCGTTTACCGGCGGGCCTTCGTTCCTCTGACCGTCTCACTCCGATGACACAACTGCCCCCCAAGGGGGGGCAGACTAGAGGGGTGGCAGGCGAAAGCCGGCGATGGGTGGGCAGAACGTTTGCTGTCGCGAGGGACAGCGATGCGGACAGCGAAGCGTTCGATCCAAGAAAAAATAATATGTCCATCAACCAAAGAACTCCCAAAATAGACATCGAGAACCGACCCACAGCCTGTGCGGCCACCCATGCGCCTCGCACCTGTGGAGGCTTCAACCGTGTCGTCGTATCCCCCTATGGCAGTCGTCAAGCCCAACTTGGAAAGCCGCACGTGATTCTGAGCCAGGGTTGAGAGGAAAACATAATGCAAACGCATCGCACATGCACGTCGTTGTTTGTCACGGCAGGTGCGTGGACAACATGAGCTACTGGCTGGAAGTGGGCGAAACAACCACAGGGACTGCGGTCGTTCCACCATCAACTCAATACGCTTATTTCGGCTTGGTTATATCATGGGCCGTAGATGAGCGTGCGAGCGTGAGGTTGGGCAGGAGGTGGCCGCACGATAGCCTGGCAACCCCGTGGGATATGGACGAACGCCAGCGCACTTGGGCTACCACAATGACACATGAACAAAAAGCTACGAATCACACATTCGCTAGAAACATGTGGCGCTTCGTGAGGGCGTGGGGGAGGGGGTTACTCATAGTCTTGTATGCCGTAGTCGTTAGACCATCGACCTCGCATCCCTGCAAAGCCGGGACGTAGCACGCCGGGTTCTCACCGGACCAGGCTCTCACATCACCAAGCGTGAAGCGCCGTGTGATATTCGGCGAGTCGCATGAAGGGTGCGCTGCATCCTGCTAAGGGCGTTCGGCATCTTGTGCTTAATTCCTTGCGTAAGGATGACAGCTGCGTATGACTTGATTTATTTTCTGGTGCTTTCACTTCCAGAGACAGTTATAAGCACTGTGTAACTGCCTCGAGGGTGCTTGACCAATTTAACAGAGCGTGGTGCGATCATCCCCCTTGCGCGGAGTGAGGCTTCTCCACCCCGCACAACATGATCTACTCGACCACCATTGATGGTCACCGCCAAAAAAAACAGGTAAAAAAAAAAACGGTAACCTGGTTGCCGACTTCACGAAGTGAATTGGCTTGTTTTACAACGTCGATGCCAAGCGACGAAACCCAATCCCGATGGCAAACACCGGGGGGACGCGTGGGGGAGGGGATGCCCAAAGCTTTCCTTACCGCGAAAAACGTTGCGTCCAACAAGAAAAAGGGATGCATACAGATGACCCTACCCCCCGGCCCCTCGAGCTACCAGCCAGAAACAAACAAAAAACGACCGCCAGCGACCGAGGAAAACCCCGCTAGTGTCCAGCGCCTTTCCCGTCCCCTATTTTGGCTGGCATTGCCCCATCTACCATGCACAACCCCGCAAGACGGGTTCTTCAAACGGAAGGAAGACTTACCCTTTCGTCTCTATGCTCCTCTGTCAATGGCCTTGTTTCCTGGACCGCCCTCCTGACCAGCCGCATCGTTCCTAGGTCTTCGCTGGAGCCACAACTGCCATAACGTGCGCGCAAGCGAGGCATGGGGGCGTGGAGCAAGGCGTGGTCACCAGCACGTGACGTAGGGGGAGGGAGGCAGAGCGAAGGGGGGCGACAGAGACAGACGGGGGGAGAAATGAGCAGTGGTGTTGGAAGGTATAAAGAGGAAAAGTGATCATTGAAAGGGAAAATGGTGGCGGGGGGTGTACGCAGCACTCTCTTTCCCCTTCTAAGTAACAGATACACCCTTGTTACATGGGAGATGGGGGAGGGGGGTGTACTCATAGTCGTGCATGCCGTAGTCGTTGGACCATTGACCTCGCATCCCTACAAAGCCGGGACGGAGCACGCCGGGTTCTAACCGGACCAGGCTCTCACATCACCAAGCGTGAAGCGCCGTGAGGTATTCGGCGAGTCGCATGAAGGGTGCGCTGCATCCTGCTAAGGGCGTTCGGCATCTTGTGCTTACTTCCTAGG